CACCTTCCAACTCTACCATTCTATGATAGTAATTTATGAAATGTGACTAAAAAGGCCTATGTCAAATTTCTTATGCTTTATAAGTGTCCCAAGTCCTCCCATCTCCAGTAACAAAAGTATTTGATAGATATAACGGGAGGAAAGGGGAATAAATAACACCTATAGTGTGATGCTATGATGTTCTCATCAGATGCAGGCTGCACTGAATTCAAGGGGACTTAGGTGAGAACACAGTTTCAACCTGACCATGCAAGCTGATGCATGGATACCCCAAAGTACATTCTGCTGCATTCAAGAAGACTAACTCCAGGTAAGTGTGCGTAACAAGCCCTCCACCCTGGTGTCCTCCAGATGTTTTGGACTTCAGCCCCCCTACGCAGCACGGCCAACCATACGGAATGCTAGGAGTTCTGCTCCAAGATGGCCAGGAGGAGTCGGGATGGAGTGATTTAAATACGATATTTTAATATATTCAAAGTTTTACTAATATATTCAAACTTCATTTTTCTGGAAGCACCTGACAATCTAGATGCATGCTATCTTCTTACAATATTTAAATAAGAAGGGAAAAATGGAAGGCACGTACTGTCCAGAGCATTGTGAGGAAGAGACAGGCAAGCTCTACCACAACTAATCCGTGACAAGCATCATGGAAACAGGCAAAGTTTGAAACTGCAGTTGTGGTGCTATTTTACCCATTCATTGTGTTTGTAATTTTAAAAATAATAATAGATAACAATAAAAGTAAAAGTAGAGAAAAGGAGAGTGCGTTCAGGAAATGGTTCACGCACGTGCTTGGTGTGTGAAAGAGTTTCTGCTGCAGAACATTTTCTGTTCTAATTACTGATCATCTTTCGCTGTGATCGCTACTGTATAGTAACAGGAGGATGAGAGAGAACCAAGCACAAGGATTCCATTTTTAGTGGCAGCCCTGTGTCTCCAAGTAATGTGCATTTGCCCCCTGACCTCCTAGGTTTTTTCTGCCACCTCCCACTTGCCAAATGCATACAACAGACATTGCTTACATCTGTCCATCTTCATCACCAGCAGGCACAGAGAGCTATTCTAAATACACAATCTGTCTTTCCCTTCTTTATTGTTTCCAGTGAGCTACAATATTTTGCAGAGGCAATCAAATGAAGATGCTCCCACAGCAGAGAAAATTCTCCGTAAAAAGGAATCTCATGCTTTGGTGGAAATGTTCTGAGGTACATCACTTAATCTCAGCAGTTTCTGACCATATCCCAATGCACAGTAGTCACTGCAATTAAGCATTATTGGATCTCTGAGAAAAGATCTCATTAAATGGAGTGTATTTAATGTGTCTTCTGATGCTGCCTCTGCAGGTCAAAGCAGATGAAGTGGTGACTACCCCCTGCATTTAAAAGGCAGGATTGTCCTAAATGCACAGAAGGAGGGACAAGTCACCACCAGCCGGCCCTCCAGCACTTTCCTTCTAGCCAGAAGAGGTAGGGCAGGTGAAGCTGAGCGACCATGCTCTGTCTGAACATGTAGCCCCCCGTCCTCTGGGCGGGAGCCCCTTATCTCCATTTATAATTGGAGATATCATGGGATTCTCTCTTGCACTGCTCACCCTCCCACTGGGAAGAGGAGCGGACATGTCCCATAGAGGGCCAGATGAATAACCTCCACAGCATGGATGTTGTTCACCATGATTTGCACTGATGTGCTCTGGAGAGAAGCTGCATCCATTACTACTCAGAGATTTAACTTCTGAAGACCCTGTGGCAGGATCCGAGCACTGAAGAACAAAGATCCATGCAGCGTGAGCTAGGGGTAAAAGAAAGACAGAAAAGGGCCCAGATATTGGCCTTGGTGAACTTTACTTTTAATTGATTTTTGTGGTAGAACATTAACTACAGCATTGATTAAAGTGTCCTTCCATCACAGAACACAATTGTATCTTTGATGCACCTCTGCCATAACAATGCAGAGTCTGGAAAGATTGTGGAAGCACCTCAAATAGTCCTGCTCCCAAACAAAGAACCATGGTGGTAACACAGGGCAGGCCTTCCACAAGCCTCTTGGCTTCGGCAGCCATTCAAAAGGCTCGGCAAATTGTTCATCCACTGTGGTTGCCCAACCATGCGCAGGGCCATCCACACGACAGACGGCCCTGCTGGCCTGTCTACCCCTCTGCTCCCAGCTACCTGCTCACAAAGAATGAAGGTCAGTGGGAACTAGTCCCGCATCAGTGCATAAGCAACCAGAATTTTCTAGCTTTAGTCTTAGGCATTACATTAACCTGGATCATGAGGTAATATGGTTCCCCAGTGTCTTTCCTGTCTCAAAGTGAGGGCACTGGAAGCATGCTTCATCCCAGTTGCACCCACATTATGGCATGCACTTCACAAGAAGTCCCTCTGAGCTCCCTCACGGAGTCTCCCTCTCTTCTCTCAATAAAACCTGGGTCATTCCATGAAGCTGATTGCTGGGGATTTGAGCATAGTCCTGATGGTGATATGGTACCTCCAGTATCAAGGACAAGATGCCTATGTTCTCCTTTTGCTGAGGGACATGGCAGTGAGAGTGCCATCACGCTTGCGGCCAACTGGTGGGCTTCTCATAGGCAGCTGGCGCGTTGGTCCGGGCCAGCATGGTGCTTCTTAAGCTCTTAGGATGTGCATCCAAAGTGATATGTATACATGCACAAGCGTTTTATATGATCTGGCACTTATGTAAGAACTTTGTCTTTTTCTTCTTTTTCAGTTTTCCAAACTGTTTAATTAAATCAAGAACACAAAGAAAATATTTAAAAATTTCCTTTTATAGAACCTTTCTGTATGTATAAAGTCTCTCTTTTAACACTTCTTAGATGGTCTTGAATTTCTCGGATTGACAAGTGTCCTTTGTAACCCAAATCAAAAACTCCAACACATTATCTTTGCTGATGTCGAGTGTAAGAAGTGGGATGAAAGATACCAGAACATGCATTTTTCAGCTGAAAGAGCGCTAATGATATTTTGAATGATATTCATGTTCAAAACAGTTGACCTTGCATGATAATCTTACCACTGCCTGTCAGATATTTTCAGCGTAAAATACTTCAGTTCCCCTGCGCGCGCATGCACACACACACACACAGTTAGACAGTGAACTTATTCTTTTATTTCAAATTCATATGTAGCCAATATGACATTAGCCATATGCAAAAGGGAAGTACCAACCACTTGGGAGAACTCCAAGGTTTCAAGAAGGAACCCCTCCACACACGCACATGGAAAAAGGTTAGAAAAATACCCAAAGGAGAGACTATACCCCCATCACATCCCTGAGCATGTTCATGAAAACTGACTGAGGGTTATATGGGAATGGAATGTTCTAGAAGGTGTAGTTGGCTGGCATCCTCAGCACAGAAAGCATTCCATTTTCATTTTTAGTATACCCTGTCAGTTGTATTTCTGCTCCCAAATTAGTATTGCTGGGGGAATTCTTTGGAAGGCTGCCATTTAGTCTTCTTTCCCTTTGTTGTCTTATATGGGAGCATTTTAATAATACTGCATAACAGTAATACTGTCATTTTGATTGACAATTAGTTCACTGCATTTCATTGCACTAGTATAGTATGTTGCATCTTCCTTGGGTATTGGTATCTCTAGTCTTTGGCTGAGAAGCAGGAGAATGATGATGCCACCAAGTTAGAATGCCCAAAGTATATGAATAAAGTTTAATTATTCTGTGGCATAGATTATTATAATACACACCCACAAAAACAGTCCAGAAATTTCTATAGTTCAGATAAAACACAGAGGTGTGACTTTTTACTGGGGTTTTGCAGTGAGTTCAGTTAATAGAGGATGTAACCCCTCTCCAAAATGCATTTCACAGACAGCTGAAGAATGATTCCATTAGACAAAGAACAAGCAATCTGAAACTTTTGATCAAATGAACAAATAAGCAGTTATTATATTGGTCGGCCTGAGCTTCCTGCCAACCATAGCTTAATTTCTTCTGGAATGTTTTTAATTTGCTAAGGTGGAAAGTAATAGTGGTGATATAGTCACTGCTGCTATTATATAATAATATAATTATTATATAATAAGAGAGAGAGAGAGATGCAAACATTGGAGGATTGTTGCTTGCTTTTTTAAAAAGTTGCTTTGGAAGGAGCAAACCAGTCCGCCTGGCCCCCTGCGGCTTTAACCCATTTGTAGCCACACTGCCTTCATCCTTTCATGATCCTGCACGCCCATCCAACGAGAGATGCTGGTTTGTGGGGCAGGAGGGGGGAAGAGTCGGACTGGAATCCTTATAGAGTAAGAGGGAAATTGCTGTAAAAGTGCTACGTCTGTACACAGCCTTAAACAATTATGGTGTGGAAAGGAGAGAAAAGGGAGATGAGATTTAGTGCCTGTGTCTCCCAGACCCTCCCCCACTGTTTCCAACTTGACACACTTCACCTCCTTGTGTTTTTATTAGCTGGTATTCTCAATACATCAGCGACAGCTACGATGAAACCAGTGGCAGATTTTCCTGAAAAGCAGCTGGGTCATTCTCCCATGGGCCTTGTTGCCTTTACCATGCAAGATCTTAAAGTGACCATGCCTGGATCAGCTGCCGTTTTGAAAGAGGCTGAGTGGGAGGTTTTGGAAGTGCAAAATACACTGTCGGAAGGAGGGGGGCTGCTGAGCAGCTTGCAGACAGCTCTCCTTTGAAAAAAAGCTGGAGATGGCCAAGGATCACGGGCACAGGCCCTCCTATGGGCAGCTGTACATGAGAAGGCCTAGCTCTGGGTTGTCAAATCAAATATACGTCATCAGTCGGTAAGGTACGTCAGTCCCCCTCCGGGGATTCTGAAAGGGGACAGGGGAAGGCAAGGCATAAACATGACAAATGCAGAAAAACTTTAACCATCTATCATGGGGTTTATCATTTACTGTCATTTCATTTATTACTCGCAGTGTCGGTGATGAAACAAGGAAGTGAACGCTGGGAACAGGCAGACAACTCACTTAAATGAAGAATCCCATTCCGCTTACCTGAAACCGTCGCATATCTCGTGGGTTCCCAGCTGTTTTCAAACAATTCTGATTGCACTTGAGGAAAAATTTCAAGAAGAACCTGCAGGGAGGTGAGGGGAAAGAGAGAATGTGTATGACATCTTTCGCTTTAAGAATTAGTGTCTGCTCTTATTTACTTGCTCTGTGCTGATAGGATTGTGCCCCATGGCAGAATCCACTGGGGAGAGCAACAGGCTTCTGAGAAGGATGCTGTCAATTAAAACAGTTTAAAATGACATTTCTGGCTGCATCTTCTGGACCAGCAAAGCACGACCTAACCTGATTAGAAACCAGCAAGCCTGCAAGCTTTTTCACCTCAAGACAAGCAAGGAGGAGAATGCGATGGATACCAAAAGAAAGACTATAAATAAGAGACATATACATTTGTGTCCTTAAAGCATTTGTGAGCGCACAATGAATGCAAAATCTATGCTTCCACGAGGCTAAAGGGCAGTCACACACCGCACGGCAGCAAACCTGGGCTTCTCAATGACTGCACACTCTGCAGGGGGTGAAGCCTGCCCTGATGTTATGAAAAGTGAGTCTCTGTGATAGGCGACTTTCCTTCTTGGCTTGAAATGCTGGGGACGAACATGTGCCCAGGCCATCCCAATTCCCAGCCTTTCAGGTGAAGACGGTATGATGAAGCAGAGGTGGGAAATACATTCATACCCTGGGGACTCTGGAGATAGGGGTTCAGCTGCTTATCTTCACCATGCCTTCCCTACGCACATATACACATAACAACTTAGAAACATAGAAACAGAGCGAGTCAGAAGGGGCCTCCCGGGCCATCTAGTCTGACCTCCAGCACCAACCGGCTCCACTCATGACATGCCCGCCATGTGGACGTCCAGCCTATCCTTGAACACCCGCACCGATGGGGCCTCCACCACCTCTCGTGGAATCCCATTCCACACCCTCGGGGTCCTGACTGTCAGGAAGTGCTTCCTGGCATCCAAATGGAACCTTGGCTCCCTGAGCTTTGCTCCATTGGAGTGTGTCCTGCCTTCCTCTGCAGGGGAGAACAGGCCTCTACTCATCTCCATGTGACATCCCCTCACATACCTGTATGTCGCCAACAGATCCCCTCTGAGTCTCCTCTTCTCCAGGCTGAAGAGACCCAGTTCCCTCAGTCTCGCCTCATACGGCATCCCCTGCAAACCGGCCACCAACCTTGTGGCCCTACGCTGCACTGACTCTAACCTGAATATATCCTTTCTGTAATGAGGGGGCCAAAACTGAGCACAATACTCCAGTTGCGGGCGCACCAGAGTCGTGTAGAGTGGTAGTAATACCTCTTTTGATCTAGAAGCCACACTTCTGGCTATGCAACCAATGGTGGCATTCACCCTCTTGACCACCGCATCACACTGCTGACTCATGTTAAGCCTGCAGTCAACCTGTACCCCGAGGTCCCTTTCACAAGTGCTGCTCTCCAGCCACTTGTCACTACTTATGACACCTATTCCTATGCCTCAAGTGCAAGACCTTGCACTTATCCACATTGAACGCCATCCTGTTGTCTCCTGCCCACTTCCATAGTCTTTCCAGATCCTTTTGGAGCTGGAGTACCTGCTCCTCAGTTGTGGCCACTGCTCCAGTTTTAGTGTCGTCTGCTAATTTGATCAGCAGACTGTTCACCCCTTCTTCCATGTCGTTAATGAAAAGATTAAACAGGATCGGCCCCAGGACAGAGCCCTGGGGGACCCCGCTTGTCACTGGCTGCCATCCCGATGATTCCCCGCTAATGGTTACCTTCTGCCTTCGGTCAGTCAACCATGCCCTAATCCACCAGACAGTGCGTTGGTGTATCCCAAAACTCCTCAGTTTCTCCACCAGGATTTCATGGGGCACTTTGTCAAAGGCCTTGCTGGAATCCAGGTATACCACATCCACTGCATCCCCTCCATCTAGCCATCTCGAAACCTTGTCATAGAATTCCACAAGGTTTGTCTGGCAGGACCTGTTTTTGCAGAAGCCGTGTTGTGTGGCTGCCAGCCTCCCTTCCCTATCTAGCATCACTAGATCTCTCTGTATTATGAGCCTTTCCATTGTTTTTCCTACAATGGATGTAAGGCTAACCAGTCTATCATTCCCCATGTCCTTTCTACTACCCTTTTTGAAAGTTGGGACTACTGATGCCACCCTCCAGTCCTCTGGAACTTCACCCGTTCTCCACGAGGTCTCAAAAATGGAGGCCAGCGGGTGTGAGAGAACCCCTGTCAAGTCTCTAAGTGCTCTCGGGTGTAACCTGTCAGGGCCTGGCACCTTTGTAATGTCCAATACCCTGAGGAGAACCTTGACTTCAAGGGGGGTGATTCTAATCTGTGCCCCTAAGTCCCCAGCCTCATCTAATCTCCTATGCGGATCTCCCCCGTCCTGCTTTGGGGAGAACACAGAGGCAAAACAGTCATTTAGCATCTGTGCCTGTTCCCTCATATCAGTCACTGGATCTCCTTCCTCCTTATTTCGTGGTCCCACCACTTGTCTCCCCTTCCTCTTCCTATTTACATGCTGAAAGAAGCCCTTTTTGTTGCTCTTGATATTCTTGGCAAGTCCCAGCTCGTAGTCAGCCTTAGCCTTGCGAAGGATCCTTCTGCAACTGGCCTCCTCCTCCTGGTATACCCTTTTGTCTATTCCCCCAGTACCCATTTCCTATGGAGGTTCCTCTTTCATCTAATCCCTTGAACCACCTCCTTTCACATCCATGGCGGCACTCTCCTCCGCCTCCCCCCCTTACTGACTAGCAGTATCGTCAAGGCTTGCGCCTCCAGTACCTCCCTTTTGAATGCTATCCACCCCTCCATACAGTTAAGGGAGGCTTATTTACTTACTTATTTAATTTATATCCCACCTTTTCATTTTTATAGAACTCAAAGCAATTTACATCCTCCTCCTGCTGCACTCAATGGCTTATCCTCACAACAACAACCATGTGAGGGGGTTGGGCTGAGGGCGTGTCACTGGCCCACAGTTATTCACTTGGCTCCAAGGCTGAGCAGGGACTAGAAGCAGGAGTGCCTGAGTCCCAGACCCCTGCTCTTAACAGCCACATCACACTGGCTTTCTCTGGGAAATATGGCAAGCATTTAATGCAGGTTTAATGCAAAGGGTCCTAATGAGGTCCAAGATGGTACTGCATGTAGCACTTTGAGTTTCAGAGTTTTATCCTGTCCAAACAGTGACAGCCACATCTCTATCTTGGGTTTAGCATGGGTTCAACAGTCTACAAGATTTCTGGAACTTCCATGAGATGTGAATTAAAAATAGGAGCTTGCATGCTCTGCTGGTCCACAGGGCTATCCATGGAGTTAGGCAGAGTCACGTGGCAGATTCAGGAGGGGCTACCAGATTATATCCTCCCTTCTGCCACCTCGGTGCTACATCCACTGTGGAACTGTTCCTGCAGTTGCTGCTGCCACTCCATGGAGCCCTGGTTATTGCAGGGGCAAACACTGCTTCATTTAAAGCAGAGTTTTCCCCTGAAGCAAAGCCACTGGCTTTCTGGAGCAACCCATGTCTCACTCTGAGGAAGGTGGTCTTCCTCAGGATGGGGCACTATGTGTACAGAACATGCAGTGTGTCTTTGCTGCATTGGTGGAAACCATTCCTTCAAGTTTAAGTTTAGTAGAGTGGACTATTGTGGGATCATATTAGAGAAGTATGAGGAATTCATCAAGGTTTTTCCAGTTCACACCTTCCAGATCGAAAGGCAACCTGCAGCCAATGTCCAAGGGTGCATAAACAGCTTGGGTGCATTTGAAAGGTGTGCATGAAGAATGCATGCTTTTTGGAAAATGTGCATGAACACACAATGGGAGAGGAAGGCAGGCATTTCAAAGATGCATATGATGGGTGCATGCATTTGGGAAAATACCCATGAAAATATTCATGGATTTTCATTTTTAAAAAATCAAATTTTGATATGGGTTTATTGTGGAATGAGCCTTGAAATGGCAGTTGGGGGTCAGGTTTTGCTGATCCACCCATCCCTAGATGAGATGCCACTGGGGATTCTGGAAAATCTCATGCCACCATGTTGAAAACAATGGAAAGGAGGAGAGGAGCCAGCAGGGCAAGAGATGAAGGACATCGGCTGCAGTCAGGCCTGGACCTCCCCAATATCCAGGCATTGAGCAGATCACTGGCATAGGGAGGGGAATTGCCCATAGCACCCGCACCTCCCCATCCAAGTGCCACTCAGCACATGGATGTTCGGCAGCCAATGAGGAGGTGCACGCATGTGGTGCTGGTGCTGGTGGTGGTGCTGAGCCTGGTCTTGCTGGTGCCATGCTAAATACATGGGGACTGAAGAGACCTGAATTGGACTCAGCACTGTCCAGGAAGGCCCTGGCTGGTGGACTTGGGTGTAGTCATGTTCTCCAGCTTAACCCCTCTCACAGGGTTGCTGTGGGGATAAAATATGCTAGGGAATGGGGGGAACTATCTGCCATGCCCAGAGTTCCTGATGTTGAATGATGGAAAGGAAATATTGTCAACTAATATGGATATGAAAGTATTTACAGCACGTTTTTCCTGCCATACTTAAAAGTATTGGGGAATTAATAGCTGCAGGAAATGTGAGTAAGGGCGAGATCCTATACATGTTGAGATGCAAGGGAGCGGCAACTACCAACCTGCCACTGCCACTGTGTGCATTGTGGACCTTTCCTTTGTCTAGACAGGCATAGGACTGCACTCTTAGTGTGTGGACTCAGAAGGTGACCTAGAAGCACTCACACATTTTCTTGCTTTCTCTTGCCACCCCCATTTCTTCTCTTTTCTGCCTGTATTCACCCCCTGTGATGTGCGTGGCTACCCTGAGAAAGGGGACATTTTCTGTAGAGGCACCTGATTAAGGAAAGCTGCTAGGTAAATGCATTTTTATTTGTTTTCAGACTGAAACGCTAGTTGCTTCTACTGGGCTCCTTGCCTCTGCCTTTATGCTGCTTGTTTGAGGCATCCCATGTTGTTCATTTCTTTCTTTCTTTTTCCCCTTAGGTTTTGCCACAAACTACCCAGAGAACTTTGCTTGTTGGGGGGCATTTACCCAGG